CTTGGAGGCGAGAAGGCACCGTTATCTGCCCAGCCACCTCCAGGGCAGCAGTAGAACAAGGAAGTAGAGGGGACGAGGTGAGGGATCAGATGCACTCGGGTGTCCACCTGCTGGAAAATCAGTCTTTGCATCTGTAAGACCCAGAAGAGAAGGCCTAGGCAGTTAAACCCCGGACCAGGAGTATCTTGTCTCTTGGCACCTGGAACCCAGGAAGAACTGGGTATTTGAGGCCATGATCAAATGTTGACGTTGACTCCACAGGTCAGAGCTCTTGGTTCTATGAGGCTGCGGCATCCTTGTTCTCCTGCTGAAGTTAGAGAGAGCTGGCTGGACTCTAGTGAAAGCATAGGACTGGAGATTCAGGACTCAGGAATGCCAGCCGTGCCATCCTGGGTCGGAGGGGGGCCCTCCCTGGGCCTCTTATTCCCGCTTTGAGAAATTGCCTCTCCACCTGTTGGCGTAGCTGCTGACCATGCCTATATTCATTTCCTATGGCTGCTGCAACAGATTGCCGCAAACTTAGTGGCTTAAAATAACACAGGTTTATTATCTTACAGTTCTCGAGGTGAGAGGTCTGAAATGAGTCCCACAGGAGCTAGAAAGGTGTCAACAGTTGCCACGATCCTTCTGGAGTCTCCAGGAGAGAATCACGGCCTTGACTTTCCCAATTTCTAAGGGCTGCCCACATCCCTTAACTCGTGACCACACCACCCCAACTTCTGCTTCCGTCTTCCTATCTCCTGACTCTGAGGTTCCTGCCTGTCTGACCTTTGTGAGTACATCGGGCCTGCCCAGATAACCCCTCCATCTCAAAATTCTTAACTTAATCGTATCCGCAAGTTCTCTTTTGCTGTGTAAAGTAACATATTCACAGGTCCTGGGGGTCCATTCACATCTTTGGGGGTCCATTATTCACCCAAACACAATGCCCCACAGAAGGACATCCATGGCAATCTAGTTTTAGTTGTGAAATATTTCAAGCTTATTATTTCAAGGAAAATGCAAACAATAATGTAATAGAGACCTGTATACTCGCCACCCAGCTTTGTCCGATTTCAACATTGTACCGTATTTGCTTCTTATTTTTTTAAGTAACAGTATATTGCAGACTCAGCTGAAGCCCCTTGAGTAGCTCTCCCTAACCTTGTCTTCTCTTCAAGGGAATTTAAGCATTTTCTTAAATTTGGCATTATCGTCTGCATGCGTGGCTTTATGTTCTTAGTGTCTTTTTGCCGAACTCACATCATTGAAGTCAAACGAGTTGAAGCACATATGACATGACACCACCGTCATCACCTCCAGGAAGCTTCCTTGGCCCCAGCCTCCCAAACCAGGCCACCATCCCGCTCAAAGATTGGTGCCAGAGTGGAGGTGAGATGGGAGGTGTGAACTGGCCATTTACTCAGGGAGAGCATATCGCCGTGTGGAGGATAATTCTAATACATGACATGGCCCCCAAATGCAGGTCACCCCCTCACCTGATGCTCGACAGACGAAAGGGCTGTCGGTTGCACTGCTGGAGGGAGCACTGGCTGAGTTGGACTCCTGGAGAAACGGTATGATGTCCTCCCACGTGAGATTTTCACCTTACCCCCTGACTTTGGAACTTAGCCCTTACCTAAGATGCAAGCCCACGAGAAGGAACTAGCCTTAAGGCCGTGATAGGAATTAGCCAAGAAGAATAGGGAGGAGTCGGGGGAGGACAAGAACTTTCCAGGCAAAGGGTGGTGTAGAGGATGCGGTGTGGCCAAAGCATTAGAAGGAGAGGAGTACTTGTGGGGACCAGCCCCACACGGCCCTGTGTGCCGTGCTGCAGACCGTGGACTTTACCCTCCAGGGGATGGGGCATTCGGCCTGAGGTAGGGGACAAGTGGGAATTGTGGCTGAGTCACTTCTTGGCAGGGCTGACCCCTTGGAAGTTACTCAGCCTCCTTGCTCCGGTTTCCTCATCTATAAAACCAACAGAATACTTCTTAGACTTGTTGAAAGAACTAAATGAGAAATAGTGTGTAAAAATGGCCTGGCACTCTCAAAGCATTCCCTAAACCGCAATCATACTCCTGCTTGTTATCAAAGCAGGCCTTCACTCAGGGGAACGGGCAGAGAATCTTCCCTGGGTGCAGGGAGGAGAGAGGAGTTGTGTCTCCAGGGGCCTGTGGGCAGATCCTTTCTTGGATGGCTCTCCAGAAGTTTCCAGGAAAGCACGGTGGCTGGTGGGAACTTCCCAGCAGCTCAGCCTCCCAGGGAGCCAGAGAGAAAGGCTTGAACAATGCCTTTTGAGAGGCCAGGACTCGAAGCTTTCTGAGACACCCCTCCCACCTCCACCGTGTAGCCAGGCCCCCAGCTCAGTGCCCCAGCAGCAGGAAGCAAGCCGGAGGAGGCTGGCAGCAGATCTGCGGGCTTAGGAACTTGGCTCCTTTCCTCACTGTGCATTGCTCAAGGCAGGGTCTTCCTCTGACTCATCTTTACCTCCCACCCCGCCTCCGGGCCCCCATTGCACCTGGTGCTCAGAAAGCCACGTGACTTGGAGCTGCTCTCAGCCATCCAGGGTCTCAGGTTTCCATTCCCAATTTCCATATTAAGCTGGAAGTTCCCAGAATGGCACTTGCTGACTGCTGGATGTGGGCCCTCCCCACATGATTATTTGTGTTTCTGAGAAGAGGCTCAGAGACCAGGGCCCTGGGGACAGCTGGTTCCCTGTGAACACAGAGGGCTCAGAGCACTTGCCCTGAGGAAGCTGGTTGAGACGCAGGGACACACAGGCAGTTAGTGGCAGACCTGGGACTGGAGCCCAGACTCCTGATTCGATTCATCGTCCGTGGTTGTTGCCATCTCCTGCCTTTGCCCACCATCAGTGTCAGGGGAGCTCCCTGGTGGTCAGTTCAGAGGTGGCATCTTTGACTCCTCATGCGACCAACACCCAGGGCTGAAGCTAGGGAAGGCCCTTGGGCTCCATAGTGGGGAGAGCACAAATCAGCCATACCCCAAGACTTCACTGCCAGAAACCTACTACCCCCAATCCCCAGCTCAAGCCCCAGGCAGAGGGACATTCCTCCTCCCTCCACCTGAATCTCCAGCTCCAGGAGACAAAAACTTGGCTCGACATGGAGGACTCCAAAAGGAGACTCCCTTGACAGGGACAAATGCAAACGTTCTGTCTCTAGAGTGGACACGATTGATGTCACAGTTAGGAATAGACGCGGCCGCAAAGAATAGAAAACCTGACCAACAAAGTCTTCAAGAAATAGTTGTTTCTTTTTCTCATATGAGAAGATGATACGGCTCTGAGTTGTGGCCTTTCTGATCCCCTTAGCTTTCCCCTCATGGTTTCAGATGGTGGCAGCAGCCCCATACATCACATCCTCATACCACATTCAGAAGCAGGAAGCAGGAGGTGATATCAGGCAGAGCTTCTTCTCCCAGCTTCTCCCTTATCAGCAAGCAAAGACTGTGTTCAGGAACCCAACAGCTGACTTCTCCTCACATCGTTGGCCAAAGAGGGCTTATAAAGTCCTCCCCAGCAAAGCCAGAGAGTGTGTCTCTGGCCATCCCAGGCTTTACAGTGAGAGGAGGACAGGAAGAAAGGGTTTGGGAATGACTTTGGGGTAGCCAACCAGAAGCACCTGCCACAAGTGACCAGCTTAAGGACTCCTGGTTTTGAGCAACTAGATTTCGGTGCAAAATTCATACGCTCTTCTGGCAAGGGGACCAAAGATTGACCTGCAAAGCTGAGGAAAGATCTTCTGGCTAGGGCTGGAGAAAAAAGAGGTTAAACCCTACACCTGAGTGTGACAGAAAACTTCCTGATGAGACATCACTTTCAGGTGGTGTTCCAGTTGTCTATTGCTGTGTAACAAACCACCCCAAAATGCAGTGGCTTAAAGAGATAATTTATTATTATCTCTCATGGTCTACGAGTCAACTGGGCTCAACGGGCAGGTCTTACTTGGGGTCTCATGAGGTTGCAGTGGGGCCTGAGCCATCTGAAGGTCTCTTTACTTAAATGTCTGGTCCCTGGGCTGGGATAGCTGGAACAGCTGGATGCTGAGCATCTCTTTCCATAGGTTCTTGCCGCTGGACCAGCTTGGGCTTCCTCACAGCATGGTGGTCTTGGGATTGTCAAACTTCTTTCAAGGCAGCTGGCTTCACCCTAAATGAGTGTCCAGAAGACAGGTTCTATAAGAACCTGAAAGGCTTCCTATGGCCTTGCCCTGGAAGACCTGAAACATCACTTCTACCTCAGATGGAAGACCTACTCACATCCAAGGTGGGGGAGGGTTCATTGACCTCCAGCTTGTGACAGGAGGGAGGGAAGAGTTGATGGCAGCCATAGTGATCTGGAGATCATATGGTGATCTCAGTGTGGCTAATCTTCAGTGATGGGAGAAGGAACAGTGAGGCCTCAGGCAGAGCCACAGAGAGGCCCTGAAGGGAAGGAATTGAGCAAGGGGTGACATCAGAAGAGGAACTTGGGGAGTCCAGAGGGAGGCGTTGGTACTGAAATGCTGACCTAGCCCAAGAGGGAGTTCCTGAACAATGGGTTCTGAGCCTCTAATCCTGTGAAACTATGAGCAAAGAAGGTATGGCCAAATCTCCTACAAGACTTCTGGGGGATCAGGAGTTTCCCTTTAGGAGGGCCCTAAAAACAGAGACAACAAAGGGCCATTCAGGGCTGGGATGAGGGTGACTATTTGTGGTCAGGAGTGGAGTGCCTAGGAACCCTTGAGACATCATAAACACCAGTCTGTTTTGGGCTCTGCTCTTCTATCCGTCCTTTAAATCAGGGGTTGGCCAACTACAGCCTGTGGGTAGTACTACAACTCTAGGCCTGTTTGTATTTTTTTCTTATTATTTATTTATTTATTTTCTAACAACTATTGCTAATCTTCTTTCCCCCTCCCCCCTTTGTTTTTTCTCCCCAAATCCCCCCTGTACATAGTTGTATATTTTAGTTGTGGGTCCTTCTAGTTGTGGCATGTGGGACGCCGCCTCAACATGGCCTAATGAGTGGTGCCATGTCCGCACCCAGAATCCGAACCCTGGGCCACTGAAGCGGAACGCGTGAAGTTAACCACTCGGCCACGGGGCCGGCCTGTTAGGCCTGTTTTTATACAACCCAGAACAAAAAATGGTTTGCAAGGATTGCAAGAGAAGGAGGAGAAGAGGAGAGGAATATGCAACAGGGACGTAAGTGGCCCTTGAAGTCTAAAATATTTACTATTTGGCCCTTTACAGACAAAAGTTAGAACTCTTGCTTTAAACAAAGGGCGTGGCTGCCATTGGTACCAAGTGAGCTGGTTGTAGGTGAGATCTGAGCTGAACTGAAGTGTCAACAAGAAAGCTATTCTCTTTTCAGTTCTTTCCCAATCCTGATTTCTTCCAGGAGCAAGTCCTAGCTGGGTGCAAGTACATCTTGAACGCAGGTGTAACATTTGTGGACCTCCTTTCCGAGCAAGGAAAGGAGGCAACAGCATCTCGCAAGACATGTGTAGTATTGGTTTATTTTCACTGTGTTTATTTTTATCAACGTCTATTCATGGCAATGGAACTGGTGGCCAGATGGCCATTAATGATTATTCTTAAATGTCATGTAGATAAGCGATATATTATCAGACTCCCACTAGGTTCCTTATAGATAACATCTCTGATGCTTGGGTCACCATGGTAACAGTTGCTTACGTTGTTTTTTGGGAACTGAGAGTCGACTCATGTCCAGGTCAGGCTGGTTGAGACCACAAACCCATCAACTGGGTATGTGCAAATGCCCAATAGGTGACCCGTTGACGTCAGGGAGCCAAATACTCCACCCTCAGTCATGCTAATGCCGCCATTTTGTAAACATGCATCCTATGAAGCTGCATGGTTTGACTACGCTTGTGTAGATCATCAATTACCTCACTTCTCCTTGCCTCCAATCATCTATTCCCACCCTTTAGACCACCCTGCCTCTCTATCCCATAAATATCCCTAATCCCATTTTCAGGGAGGTGGATTTGAGACTTATTCTCCCATCTCCTCATTTGGCTGCCTTGAGAGAAAACCCTTTCTCTGCTGCAGACTTGTCATCTTGGTGATTAGCACAGCGAGCAGGGGACAAAACGAATCTGGTTCAGTAACAGCAATGAGGCTGATTTTCCGTCTGTTATGTAAGTTTTCCTTTCACATAAATGCATTAAGTTGCCAATGAGACAACTTAAAGAAAAAGATTAAATCGAAAATAATAGAGGTAGTGTGCTGATACGGCAAATGTGGTGAGAGTGGTATGTGAATGACTGGGTTTAAATGTGGGGAGTCCTGAGGTTCTGCCATGACCTTCTTCTTGGCTCTCTTCCCAGTTCCCTCTGCAGTCTTCCCGGTTCTTCCCAGTAAGCTTGTCCACTCTCAAGCCTTCTTAGAACCATTTATATGCTGATGACCCCGAAGCCTGCATCTCCAGGTCAGCTTTCTCCGTCCAGAGCGGCGAAATTAACCCCCTGCCATCCACGTTGACGACCCACAGGCACCTAAAATAGAATGTTTCCAAAAGTGAACTCCTGGTCACAACCCACCTCTTCTTTTTGTGTTCCCTTCTCAAGAAAAGCATCCTTACCGAGTCAGAGCTCTGTGAGTCCTCTCTTCCTGCCCCCACATCTGAACCATCTCCCACCCATCGATCCTACCCTCTAAATACCTTTTGAAACTGTCCACATGGCCTTCCTGCCTTGCCAGGCTCAGGCCCCCTCAACTCACACCTGGATATAACCTGGAGATAACAGACTGATGCTGGCCAGTCTGGAGGGATCTTCCTAAACGTCACCGCCACCCTGCCTGTCCACCACCCTTAGGATAAAGTTCAAAGTCCTCTGGGCAGCATAGGAGTCCCCACATGCTCAAGCCCCTGGTCCCTCTCCAGGCTCAGCTCTCATGCTCTTTTCCTTGAGCTGGATGCTCAGCTATCCCGAAATATAGCGAAATCTTCAGTTTGCTAAATGTGTGTGGCTCCTCTTCAACCTCGGGCCTTTGCCTCTGGCATTTCCTCTTCTTGAACATTCCATACCCAACTGAGTAACTCCCACTCGACCTACAGGACTCTATAGGGCCACTGGCTTCTGTGGAGCCACTTCAGTAACTTGCCGGGAGCCCATCCGTTGGCCCTCACCCACCCGTGTGGTCCAACAAGTTAAACATTCTTTAACAAAATAGAAAAAGAAGTCAATTTATGGGACACATGAATAAGAAGAAAATGAAAACCGCCCCCTTATCTCTCAGGCCCCATTTCCCCACGCCTGGCCCTGAGCAGAAGGTTTTAACGGATCCAACCATGTTTTTCCTTCAGGGTGGGTGTGGCTTCCATTGGACGACAGTTCCACTTAGCTACCCGCCCCCGACCCTGGGGGAGAGCTCGAGAAATGGGTTTGGGTCTTAAAAAGCCATCTTAAGCAGATGGCAGTAAATTCAACCCCATGGCCCCATATACAACCCTGGCTAACCCTCCCCCACCCCTGACAATCTCCTTCTGTTAGAACCTGACACTCTCTCGCTGGTGTTCTCTCCAAGCCAGGGTCTTAACCACTGTGTCATCATTTCTCACTCCTGTCCCCAAAGGAGACACCAGTGCACAGTGATTATATCTCAGGCTCTGGACTCAGACAGACACAGGGTCAAGTTTCAGCTCTGCCACTTACTATATGACCTTGAGCAAGCTGCATAAGGTGAGTGCCAAATGGCCTTATTGAGAGACATAAATGAGATAACGGGTGTGCCGCACTTAGCACAGAATCCGGTACATGGGAAGCAAACGCCAGCCATTATTATCACCGTGAACTTCTTAAGTTTTTATTTGAAAAATTATCACTACGGTAAAATTGACCTTTTTGGTGTACAATTCTTTGAATCTTAGCGCATGTATAGATGCATGTAACTGTCACCATAATCAGAATACACAACAGTTCCATTATCCCCCCAAAACTCCCCCCTGCTGTCCCTTTCTCTTTCTCCACTCATAACCCCTGACAACCATGACTCTCTTCTCCTTCCCTGGAGTTTTATCCTCAAAAATATCGTCTGAATGAAATCTTACAGTATAGGACGTTTTGAGACTGGTTTCCTTCACTCGGCGTGATGCCTCTGCGATTCTTCAAGTTGTTGCTTGTATCAATCTCTGCTTCCTTTTTATTGCCCAGGAATGTGCACATGCTGAAAACTGCTTTCCTTTTTTTCATCCCAACCAACATTCCAACTCAGATAAACACGAACAGACTTTACAAGGTCTTGGCCTAGAAGTCACTCTCCCTGGGGAAGCTGGTGGCCCCCACATTTCATCAGGCACTCTTCCTATCCACCCCTGATAAGCTCTCTTGAAAAGAAAGGTTCTGAGTCCAATTGTATGGTTTGAAGGAGAGAAAAACCTTTGGTCCCCTGAGTGGTAGCAAATGGAAGACACCAAAGTGCTGACAGATGGTGTCTGGGCAACATCACTCTGAGCCTGGATCCCCCTGTGCTCCATCCACGACCTACAATTGGCAGCCAGCTGGCCAGGCAGAGTCGGGCAGCCAGTTCTTCCATTCCAGCCACGTACGAATCATGGGGCAGAAGAGGCCGGCGCTCATGGGTGGGAAGAAGAATTTCAGAGAGTGAGGGGGCATTGAGCAGGAGAGAGAAGGCATTTGTGGCCCTGAATAACTTCTTTCTTTGCGCTCTTTTCTTCCTCCAGATTGGTTCGGAGGCACAGCCCAGCTGCTGCCTTGGCTTTTGCTCAAATTATCATCAACGGACATGTCCTTTCTTTGCACTGTTTGAGACAGATACGACACTGGCCTCCAAATTGTTCAGGGAACATCTTTTGTGCTTTTTGTCTGTCCTTCTGTTCATTCCGGGGTGTCCTAGGGCTGGGTCCTAGGACAACTGCTCACTTGAGAGAGAGAGCGGGACTGACCCTATATGCTTTCTAAGTGCAATGTCCGTGACCAGGCCTCAGGGTCTTTCCAACGCCTCCCAGACCCTCAGGGGACACGCTGAGGCAGTGGCACTGACACGTGGCCAACTTCTGTTGTCTGCTGGGGTGCTTGTGAGCTTTGGCTCAGGGAAAATAAGCTTGTTCTGGGTTGCAGGGCAAAGCTGGCTGTGGGGGAGGGCTCTGGCCAGCTGGTCTGCGTGTCCTGGCTGGTGCTTACATCAAGCTTTCATTTCCTCTGGAAACCCCACGCACTTGACCTCTGAGCCTACTGCAATATGTGTGTATCCTAATTTCCCTGGAGGCTTTGGTTCCAGCATTTTCCGAGCAGTGGGTCAACTTCAGTAAGAGCACACACAAAGTTAGAGCTTTCGGCCAGGGAGAGCAAAGTTTACAATTCTGACAAGGCTAACACGCAGAAACACAGAACACTGAGCCCAGGTGAGTGAGTTAGAAAATACAGGCCCTCATCCAGACTTGGCAACGTGGGAGAGTTGAGTGGCATCATGGGTTCTAATCCCAGGTCTGCCTATAGCCTGAAGACCTTGGCAGACCCTGGGCTGTGGCTTCCTGAGCTTAGGGACCTCTGAGTTCTGTTGTGTCACTTCCTAGATGCCCAGCTCTGTGCGAGCCTGTTAGAGACACAGAGGAAAAGAGGGGCGCCCTGCCGTGGGCATGTGGAGACAAGACCCACACAGCAGATGCGATGCAAGGGTGGACTAAGGAAGCCATGACTGGGGTGAGTAAACACTGTAGGACTCAAAGGGTGCAAGTAGGCATTTGAGGCGGACTTTCAGAGGAGTAGGAAGGGGGCCTTGGAGGCAGGGGAGATGGCGGAGGCAAAGGCACCTTGGGGGAGGGGTGTGGTTCATGCTGGGGCCGTAGGAGACACTACAGATGTCCCACCCAGATCCCCGTCACCAGCAGGCGCACCGTTCCCCAGCAGCTGTAAATGTTCATTGCTTCCAGCCCACAGCTATACACTTCTCTGGAGCATTGCCTTTGGCTGACATGAGTCACCTGGTCATTACACCCCCCAGGGAGTGACCTGCAGCCAATGACTGTGTGACACGGGCTTACAAACGCCCATCCCCTTGTGTCAAGGTGGAACAGCTCTGTGATGCTATTCACACTCCAGAGCTCCCATGAGATCAGGCTGAGGTCAGACTTGAGCTGAAAACAGCTCTGTCGGGTTTCTTCACCTGCCCTATCCTGTTTTCATCCTGAGAGTTGTCCCTCAGTATATCATTTGCCCACAAAAAAACTCTATCTCAGATTCTGCCTCAGAGGAACCCTACCCAACTAGGGCCAGCATAAGGCAGAGTTAAGAGGACCTTGGATGCTAGAACTTGGCGTTGTGGGCAGACCAGACAGCAGGAAACCTGGCTCCTTCAACCTGTTCCGATCTGTGTTGCTTACTTTTCAACTTCAGCAAGTCAAAGGGGCCCACTCCCCTTTTTCCAGCATGGGGCTTCTGGGTTCTAGCTCCACTCAGAAGAATTCCCAATGGATTGGCTCATGGGGCTGGTGGTGTTTGGATTCAGGTGAAGAACCGTGGCAGGTGTGAATCCTGCTGCCAGAAACTCCTCTGTTGGGGGATGGTCCGTCTGTCTAATCCCAGCCTAAGGGGGCGTGTCGGCCTCCTTGTTGGTGAAGGCGCTTAAAGGGACAGAGATGGTGGGATGGCTCTTTCCTCATGTGAGCAGCCCCTCAAGAGGCATATGAAGAGGAAGGGCTGACGGGAAGGAAAGGCCATCTCCCCCTTGCACATCCGCCTCTCTCTCTAAGCCATCTTCCTCCTCTCTCCATCTGATCCAAGTATCACCCACCAACTCGACAGATACTGACTGAATATCCACCACGGGCCAGGCCCTGTTCGAGACACTGGGACATGGCATCATCACCATGGTGAAGCCCCGCTCTCAGAGAGTTCACATTCTGGTCAGTATAAGAAAAAGAAAGAAAGAGAAGTAAGTCTATCGAACAGAAATAGTATTAAATACAGTCATGCGGCGCATAACGACTTTTCGGTCAATGACGGACCACACACACAATGGTGGTCCATAAGATTAGTACCGTCCAGCCTAGGTGTGTAGCGGACTAGGCCATCTAGGTTTGTGTAAGTACACTCTAGGATGTTCTCACAATGACGAAATTGCCCAACAACCCGTTTCTTAGAACATGTCCCTCTTAAGCGAAGTGTAAGTGTACTATCAAAAAAAAAAGTAATGGCTTAGAGAGAAACTGAGTCTTAGGGGGATGGGCCACTTTGGGAAGGGGTCAGGGAAGGCTGGCACTTGAGCTGAGCTGTCTGTGCTGAGAAGAGGCCATTCCAGCAAAGATTTGAGGGGAGAACATCCAGGCAGAGGGAAGAGCAAATACACAAGTCCTGTAGCGTGTTAAACATGCCGAACCAGGAGCACCAGAGAGATCTCTGGGGAATCCTGTGGGACTGTCTTCCCCTTCCTCTGGTTTCTTGTAGGGATGACAACAGAAGCAGGAAATCGTATATATCTGCATAGTTTATACACATTTACTTTGAGTGTCATTTTGACAGAGCAGAGTTCTGTGCCGGGGTAGCATCTCCTCTTCTACACCATAAGTGAGGTTTTCAAGAGTCACCCAAAGCTTTCAGAAGGACAGAGAGCAGCCTTGTGTTCTCTTCTTAGTGCCTCATGGAGCCAGATGTGCTGGTCACTCTCTGTACCGACTGCTGACTGCCACGTGGCGGGGATGGGCATGATGAAACGTCCTGTCTGGGTGCAAAGGCTTCAACTTACTTCTCTCTGGACACAGAAACATATTGAAAACTTACAAATCAAAACAGTTCTTTCAGCAAGGTAGGTCCAAAACACCTCTTAGAGCCAAGGGATCGGGGGCCTTGATCTCTTCTCTCAGGAGATGTGGTATGAGACAGGGATGTTGATTAACCTCCCAGCAGGACCCGAGCCAAGAGCCTCCCCCAGTAGCATCCTTACCCAGTGGCTCAGCTCAGCCCCAAAGCCAGCTTCCTTCTTCCACTGGCCTCTGAGCTGCCTGGTCACTGGCTTGGCTCACAACAGTTTATTGAAAAATGCCCAATGATCTCAATGGTAGGTCAGATGAGCTTAGGAACTTCAAGCCCCAGTGGCACCCTCTCGTTCCTCCAGCTTACATGCCTGAGTTAACTCCAAACACCAAGACTGTGAGATTCGATCTCACAGGCTTGGTTTTGTCTATGAAAATAGTCATAATAATTACGTGGACGGGGAGGGAGCATCATTCAGACCCCTCTCAAGTCTCAGGGTGATGTCTACTCTGGTTTCATCATTTTGTGGAGGTTTTTGATGCTAAAGAGGGTCCTTCAAAAGCCGTTCTCCACCAGCCGCCACAGGCAACACGAAGAGAGGCCCAGCCCCACATCAGAGAGATGCTTGTCCCTCTGTCCTCTGCACCAGCGCCACTCTGGCACGCAGGAGAGGAAGGCTGGTGAGGGACCAGGATGCGAGAGGAGGCTGGAAGGCATGCCACGTGGGACAAAGGCAAAGGAAGCTGAGGCTCAGCCTGAAGAGGATGGACAGAGTGGCATTCGGCGGGCGACACGACGGGGGGCACTCAGATGGCGTGGGTGTGACTCTCCTGGGTTCGGGGGATGGGCAGGGTCACTTCACTCTAAGAAGGAACAGCCCAGTTCTGCTGCAGCCCACCAGAGGACTGGGCTACCTCGGGTGGCAAGACCCCCACCCAACCCATGCTGAGCTCCTGATTCTCCTGGTCCAAGGGGGCAGTCCAGGAGAGCCGGCGAGGGTCACCAGCCTGGTCCTGGATCTGGACGAGGCCTGCACGCGGGACAGGATGGACTAGAAGCAGACAACCTGGCCAAATCCTCCCTTTGCACAGACCTGAGGGGTAGGACATGCTCCCTTAGGACCTCTGGTTTCCCATGAAAGTAAATCTCAACAAGAGGCGGGTGTAGGCAGCAGGGTCCATCCCTGCCACTGTTCTTTACCTGAACCAAAACATCTCCAACATTGAGAATCCTGGGCACCATGATTCCTAGGGTCACTTTAACTCTAAACAATGTCTGATTCTACGAAACTGGGGCTTCAAGGTCATCTTGGAGTGCTAAGGGTGGTACAGGGATCAGAGATGCTAAGCTATGGTTGGCGGTTTGGGGGTGGGGGCAGTGGTTGCAAAATCTAGGGTGTATGAATCATCATAATATTGGGGGGCACTTGACTATAAGTCAAATTACACAGAGTCTACACACCCGTGGATCCTCACAGTGATACCGTGAAGTGACTGGAGCAAGTATGACATCATGCAGGTGCCCAGAAAGGGGATAAGATGGGCCTCCACTTCCTGTGGCCCCACCCTGCTCTGGACCTTCAGGGCCTTTTAGGTGCCGGAGCGAAGTGGGAGCTGCGACCCTCCCAAAGGACTCCCTCCACACCCACAGCCCACGCTGGAGGCAGACCAATTCATTGAAAACCAAATCCCCAGAAATCAATTTACAGATTGATTTGCAAATTGAATTGACTTATTACCCATCCCCCCACCCATCCACTCATCTTATCAACATTTACATAACTTCCACTTCATGGCAAAATCAATTCCACAAATTCCCCCTAGAGCTCCCAAACTGAAAATGATCTCTCCCCCTCTGAATTTCAAGCCCGTCTTTCAGAAAGTATTTTTTGTTGCTTTGCTTGTCTGTTTAAAAAATGATACCTTGATGTATCATTAAAGGTGTGTCCCAGCCATTCCTCTACTTCCGTCCTCACCTCCTCCTCGAACTTGCAACCAGTAGAGTTTCGACAAGAGACACTGATTTACTAAAGCAGATGCGTTGACCACTGCTCAGAAAACAAGACCCATGCCTCTTTTTATGATGCTTTTCGCTCTCAGAGCTTCTGCTCTCATCTCCGCCAAAAGAAGTAAGAACACCGTATCGACTCTTTTCCTCAACAGCATAGAGTATGGTATTCGCTATGAAGCAGAAGTTAAGTAAATATTGATAAGATGAGTGGGTGGGTGATAAATGGTTTTCTGTCTTTTGCATGAAGAAATGGCCCTTCAAGGGCCACCATTAGCCAAGCATGCGATTCTTCCTCAGCCCTAGCACGGGTTGTGAGCATAGAATGTTTGCTCCCACCCATCCTTCCTCAGGGACAGAATAGGGGTGCCCAGCTGCCAGAGAGCCCTGTCTCGTGAAGGTGACGCTCTAGAAACCCCTTTTTTCCTGCAGAGTGTGGGTTAGTATGAATTTGGCTCCCATAGATCTCGTTCTCAAGAGCATTTGCCTCCAAAGCTTGACCTCTGAGCCTGGAGCAAAGGGCTTTGTTGTCAAGTAGGAGCTTTTCCCCAAGGATAACCTTGGCGAGGAGGGTCCTGAGCAGTGGTGACTGAAATGAAGTGATTTCTCTGGAGGACAGAGTACAAAATCCAGAATTAGCCCCCATTGCCTAAAGAAAGCTTGTGTGATGATAAAGGCAGCATCGCAAATCATGGAGAAAGAATGTATGATTTGATAGTTGGTGTTAGGATAACGGGAGAGCCCTGTGGTATTAGAGGCAATTGGAGGCGTTTTGCTCATACACTAGGATACATTCCAAAGAGATTGGAGATTTAAGTTTAAAAATGAAACCATCCAAGTACTAAAAGGAAACAGGCAAATTCTTCTTTTTTGAAGAAGAAGATTAGCCCTGAGCCAACTACTGCCAGTCTTCCTCTTTTTTTTTTGCCGAGGAAGCCTGGCCATGAGCTAACATCTGGGCCCATCTTCCTCTACTTTATATGTGGGACGCCTGCCACAGCATGGCTTTTGCCAAGCAGTGCCATGTCTGCACCTGGGATCCGAACCGGCGAACCCTGGGCCGCCGAGAAGCGGAACGTGCGAACTTAACTGCTGCGCCACCAGGCCGGCCCCCAAATCCTTCTACAATTTTGGAGTGGGGAAAGCTTTTCTAATTCTACCTCAACATCCAGAAAGTTAATAAGTTTCAAGGGACTGAAGTTTTGTATGGCAAAATAATAAAATTTAATTTAAAAATATAAATAAGTAAAATGAAAAAGACAATGACAGGCTGGTCAAAAAAGATTCACAATCTTACATCACATAGGGTTAATATTCTTAGACTATAAAGAGATTCTAATGTAAGTTAAAAGGCCAAGAACCTACCAGAAGAATGCACTAAATGTAGGAACAGTTTACAGAAAAAGAAAGGCAAATGTTTCAAAACAAAAGAAGTGGCCGGCCCCGTGGCCGAGTGGTTAAGTTCACACGCTCTGCTTCAGTGGCCCAGGGTTTCACCAGTTCGGACCCTGGGCGCAGACCTGGCACCACTCATCAGGCCATGCTGAGGGGGCATCCCACATGCCACAACTAGAAGGTCCCACAACTAAAAATATACAACTATGTACTGGGGAACTTTGCAGAGAAGAAGAAGAAAAAAAAGATTGCCAACAGATGTTAGCTCAGGTGCCAATCTTTAAAAAGAAAAAAGAAAAGATGTTCAACATTGCTTATAGTTAAAGAAACGCAAATTGACCCAAAGAACTATTTCTTGCTGAGAAGATTGGCCAAAATCCACACTTAACAAAGTACTCTCTTGTCCAGGCTCTGAGAAAACAGACATTCTTACACTCTGCTGGTGGGAATGTGAAACAGGACGGTTCCTATGGAAGGGAATTTGGCAAAACCTAACAAAACTCTGTGTGAATTTGCCCTTTGACCCTGCAATCCCACTTCTAGGAATCTGTCCTAGAGAGACACTGCAAACCTTGTGAAAAAACCCAGGGAGGGGCCAGCCCTGTGGCGCAGAGGTTAAAGTGCGCACGTTCCGCTTCTTGGCGGCCTGGGGTGCGACGGTTAGGATCCCGGGTGCGGACGTGGCACTGCTTGGCAAAAGCCATGCTGTGGTAGGTGTCCCATGTATAAAGTAGAGGAAGATAGACATGGATGTTAGCTCAGGGCCAGTCTTCCTCAGCAAAAAGAAGAGGATTGGCAGTAGTTAGCTCAGGACTAATCTTCCTCAAAAAGAAAAAAAAAAGACCCAGGGACCAGGCTATTTATTGCAGCTCTATTTGTAACAGCCAACCTAGAAAAAGGCTGAATGCCCACCAATAAGGCCCAGCAGAATAAACAATAGTACGGCCACACAATGGAATACTTTGCAGCCATAAAAAGAATGAGGAAGTCTCCTCAGAAACTTAAAAATAAAATTACCCTAGGATCCAGCAATCCCACTTCTGGGTGTATACTAAAAAGGATTGAAAGCAGGATCTCAAAGAAATATCTGCACTCCACGCATTATTCACAATAGCCAAAAGGTGGAAGTAACCTAAGTGTCCATCTAGAGAGGAATAGATAAAGAAAATGCGGTCTGTGCATACAATGGAATAATATTCAGCCTTTAAAAAGGAGGAAATCCTCCCAAATGCTGCAACATGGATGACATGTCTGAAGGACATTATGCTAAGTGAAATGAGCCAATCATGAAAAGACAAACAGTGCTTGGTTCCACTCATATGAGGTATCTAAAGCGATCAAATTCATGGAATCAGAAAGGAGAATGGTGGTTACCAGGGGCTGCAGAGAGGGGGAAAGAGGGATTTGTTCAATGGGTACAAAGTTTCAGTCACACCAGATGAAAAAGTTCTTGAGATCTGTCATACAACATGCATAGAGTTAATGCTGTAATGTACACTTAAAAATTAAGAGGGTAAGAGCCAGCCCTGATGACCTCATGATTAAAGCTCTGTGCTGTCCGCTTCAGCGGCCCAGGTTCACTTCCAGGTCACGGAACCACACCACCTATCTGTCAGTAGCCATGCTGTGGTGGTGGCTCTCGTAGAAGAACTAGGAGGACTTACGACTAGGATATACGGCCATGCACTGAGGCTTTGGCAAGGAAAACAAATTCATTTCTCTGTTCCCAATAGCTGGAAGCAGAATTTAAAAAAAAAAAAAAAAATGAAGACTAAAAAAAAATTAAGAGAGTAAATTCTTGTTATGTATTTTTTACCGTGATAAAAAAATAAATAAGGGACTGGCCCTGTGGCATAGTGGTTAAATTCGCTCTCTCCACTTTGGTGGCCCGGGGTTCGCAGGTTCGGATCCCAGGCGTGGACCTAGCACCACTTATGAAGCCACGCTGTGACAGGTGTCCCACATATAAAGTAGAGGAAGATGGGCATGGATGTTAGCTCAGGGCCAGTCTTCCTCAGCAAAAAGAGGAGGGTTGGCAGCAGATGTTAACTCAGGGCTAATGTTCCTCAATAAATAAATAAATTAATTAATTAATTCTTGTGCTAGAGAGGCTGATCCTTAGCCATGGGCAGTTACCGTACCCCTGCCCACACTAACCAGCCCAGGAGAAGAGGCCTGGCCGGCTGAGCACAGGCTTGGTCCCACCCTGTCCCGCCCCAAGCCAGGCCTGGAGCCCTCGGCAGCCCGATGCGGATGCTCAGTGAAAGCAGCCGTGGGTAGATCCAAGAAAGAAGAGAGTCACCACACTGGGGCTAAGGGAGGCGCCTGCAGCCGGGCCCTTTGACTTCTGCGTCCCCCAGGCCTCTCCCCAGTCACTGCTGAATGGACTTGGTTTACAAAGGAACTGACCTTCGTGGGCAAGCAGCCCTTCCACTGGTTGCCTCTCCCATGGCTCCCCGGCTCCCAGCCTGTTCTGAATCCCTCTGCTCTTACCTCACGTGTCTGCTGGTTCCAAGTCCATCTTCCCAGACCACTGTGAGCTCAGAAGTGCTGGCTCAGCAAGCTCCTCATCTTCAGCACCCGGCAGGAGTTTGGCCAAGGGTGGGCGTCAACTAGTGTCTGTTACATGGATCCCAAAGGAATTGGGTTTACTTGGGTGTACAGCAGGGCTCAGTTAATCCTCTCTGCTCTTCCAGCTGGAAGGCATGCTCCTAAGGGAAGAGACGCAAGCATCCTTATCGCCAATTGACGGCTGACCACACGGAGGCCCAGAGAGGTTGGCGACTTGCCCAAGGTCACTCAGCTAATCAGCAGCAGAGCTGGGACGTGCTTCTGCGGGTCTGACTCCAGGCCTAGTGTTCTTTTAGGCACACACCTACACACAAATCGCCACAAATCACCCTCACTGGCCTCAATGAGGCTAGTTCTGCATTATGTACAACAGGTCCAGGCCTAGTGCCCATGAGCTTTGCAAGGGCCCGAGAAAGTGTATTGGCTCCTAAATTCAAAAAGAAAACAGCAAAAATCAATTAAAGTAAATGTTTACAAACTGTAACACTGTCACCTGCTCAACTGTGATTGCGCTAAATTATTTTTTGATTACGTTGAATGCGGGATGTAGGCACGTTTTAAAGGTATTTGCTGTGACATGCAGGGGGGCCTCCAAAAGCTGAGCACTGGGCCCCTCATAGGTCAAACAGACCCATGTATGTTAGTGAACTCTGAGGGCACAGGGCTGGCGAGGTCCTGCCACCAAGATAATTGTATTATTTGGTAAAATCAGATACCAGCAAGTCAGGGGGTCTAGCATTACCCCAGAAGAAGGCACAGATGCAAACTGCAAACTGCAAACCCTAGATGCTGCTGGAAGATAGCCTGAAGATGAAGCTCCATGGATGGAAGCAGATCCAAGAAAGAATCACAGAGAAATGGGACCACAGCCTTGATGGAACCGTGCCTGAAGCCCATCTCCTATTGATTTCTCAGCTACAAGAGCCAATAAGTCCTCTTAGTTGCTAAGCCACTGTGGGTTGGCTTTTGCTGCTTGAAACCAAAATCCTCCTGACTGATGCATACCTCCCAGCTCTCTCATGCAGCCGCCTCGGGTGCCACCTCAGAAACCACTGCTCTCCAGTGTGATTTTTCAGCGGAGGACTTGCACAAGGGTTGATCAAGAGGCAACTGCTCTCATGCCCTCCGATCTTACCCTAACAGTGTCAAGAGCCAATTTGAAATCCGGGAACTTTTCAGAAACATCCCCCTCCGTAGATGTGGCAGAGTAACAGGAGCCCAGGAAGCTGGCCTTGGGGCGGGAGTATTTGTGCTGCTGCATCTGGCAGTTTTCTTGTTCCCTCTGATGCCTCCATGCCCTCCTAGGGATAACCTGGTAAACAGACAGAATTCCCAGACTCCATTCACCCATTCCGTAAGCATTTACTAAACCCCTGTGCAGGCCACCCCACGTTGGGTCCTGGGCAAACAGCGGAGTGATGAGCCAAGGCCAAGCTGAAGGAGAGCGATGAGTGACGGGACAGGGGGCGGGGAGCAGGAGCTGTTAGGAGGGTGGGCTCTGCATCGGACTGTGGGTATCCTTGGGCAAGTTTACTTTGGAGTCCTATGCCTCGGCTTCCTCATCTGTCATATGGTGTGTTCGGCATCACAGGAAGTATTCACTTTTATTCTTAAGCCTTAATTTTTTTAAAAAAGATTTTATTTTTCCTTTTTCTCCCCAAAGCCCCCCGGTACATAGTTGTGTACTTTTTTTTTTAGTTGTGGGTCCTTCTAGTTGTGGCATGCAGGATGCCGCCTCAGCACGGCCTGATGAGCGGTGCCGTGTCCACGCCCAGGATCCAAATTGGCGAAACCTTGGGCCGCCTAAGTGGAGAACGCGAACTTAACCACCTGGCCAGGGGGCCAGCCCCAAGCCTTAATTTTTACTATTATTGGATTTTTTTTTAAGAAAAGGGACTGAGTGTAACCTGCCCAGCTGGATG